GGGTGTAGGGTTGAGGGGTTTAGGTTTTATGGGTTTAGGGTGTTAGGATTTAGGGTTTGAGGGTGTAGGCTTGAGAGGTTTAGGGTTTAGGGTTTTATTGATTTAGGGCTTTAGGGCTTTAGGGCTTAAGGGTTCTTGGGGGTTTTAGGATTTAGAGGTTCTGGGTTTAGGGTTTAGGGTTTAGGGGGTTTTAGGGCTTTAGGGTTTTAGGGTTTTAGTGCTTAGGGTTTTAGGATTTTACGGCTCAGGGTTTATTCAGCAGTGGATGTCTCACGTAGCAGGCTTCTGGCCAATCGCGCATCCCCGGATATAGGCTCAACAAGCTACAAACCAAACCAGACCCCCAAACCTCTCAACAGGGAATCCGGTAACCACCAAAACATTACGTTAACCGCGGCATGCACACCCCTGTCGAAACCTCAGAAACCCATAATCTGAGACGGCCGCCGTGAGTGGCAGAAAGATCTTGCCGGAAATTCGGAGCCACTGCCCATCAACGACGCCTTCTACCTGGACCGGACTTGACCAGCTCCGCTCGGTGCTTTGGGCTGGAGCTCGGGGCAACAGGTGCACAGGTTCAGGGATGAGGGTTGACAATGGCACAGGCTGGAAAACCCAAAGCTCGTGACATGTGACACCTGTTAAACCAGCACCCTACACTTCACATGAGAATGCCCTTGCCGTCCCGTCTAAGCCCAAGGCTACCTGGCCCTGCTTCGCATAGTGCCCATACCTCCCATCAGAGGCACAGAGGGGCCACACCAGGCTCCTAGACTCTGACGCTCCAGCGTTCCCTCCACTCTCGCAGGTTCTGCACAACAAGGAGAACGGGCTATCAACGGACCAGACCCTGAAGTCTAAGCAGCGAAAACAATGAAAACGGGCAGGCTTGCCTGTCATCCAAGCACATGGACCTGAACGCGTCAAGGGCACAGGGATGAGGTCTTTGCGCCAGTTTCAGGTTTCGGGTGCGCAGAGACTTGGTATGTTTTCTGCCGGGCTGGGCGCGAAGATTTCAACGTACGCCGGCACAAGACATCCGCATGCCCAAGCACTGGAGCATAAACGACACTTACTGTCGGAAGCTACCAACAAAAGAAAGCGTGAATCGAAGAACATGCTTCTTTGGAGTTGCTGTTTTGGCGGGTCTGACACTCGGATAAGAATATCTTTCGCCTTGGATGCGCAATGCGCGAAGATGTAGTTGGTGAGGGTATATCGGTGTTGGCACCAAGTGCTGATGCTGGTAGCGGCGATGTTGACACAGTGCAGCGGTGGTGCTGACGATCACATGAAGGAAAGCATACCGATCATGACATGAGGAATCCCATATATCCCATCTCGACACCGTCTATGATGAGGACGAAGAAGACAAAGAGGCTGAAAATCATGAGGATCAAGTGGAACCAGGAGCAGGACCAGGACGAGATGAACCCCAGAGGCAACAAAAAACGATGAGGATGAACATGCTTTCAAGCTTTAGGGTGACTCAGGGATCAGATTTGAAAGCTTCAGTAACTTCAGTACTTCAAGGTTTGCCGCCAAAACCAAGCCCGGGGATCCCAGAGCTCATGCTTCTTGGGTAAATACGCCGTAAACTTATGATCGCGCACTAGGCAGACAGA